TAGAAGCCCTACATGAGTAAGATGAAAGAACGCAGACATACACATAGACCCAAAAAAAACTTAGAGCACGAAGAATCCCTAATTGGTGCCAATTTATTTTTCCCCTGAACTGTGGCAAGTACATGAACATCAAAAAACAGACATTACAGACCAAAAACCCATCGAACTCCATGTTGCTATATCTCTTGCCTTCTTTTTCGGCCATGAATTACCGAAGCACAGAATTGCCCTCAAAAGCATAGATAAAGGAAATAATAGATACGCTTGGAGGATACAGATTGAAAAGAAATAAACGAAAGGGAAGAAAGACAGAAACAGAGTAAGCAACAAGAGAAAGAAAAGCGATTAAAACTCACAAAGCGTTGGCATGTTGTATATCAGCCTCTAGAACTTTTAGGGACTCTTTGTATGAAGACTTGGCAAGCTGGTTATACAAGAACTCCATCTAGTTTTATTACTGGGTTTCTTTCTTTTAGCAAGAACCCAATAAGAACATACAATAGAGAGGCCAGAGAAAGAGAGAATCGACAAAATAGAAAGCTCAGCTGCTCAGGTTGGATTGGACTTTATATGCTTGACATGCCCTCTGAAATACGACGTCGATGTATTATGAATATAAAACGAGCGTTGAAAGAAAAGAAAGGAAAAAGATTGATCCTTGCTATGTGGGTGGTGGGAGCCACTGTTTCACAACCTAATCCCCACCAAAGACAGCTCCAGAAATTTGATAAAATCATAAAACACAGAGATGGCTTTTGGGTTTTTTTGAGAAAGCTTTCGGGGGGGTTGTTGAGTGTTAAACCTTCTTTTCTTTAATTATATCTTTGTCTTGGGCAGGCGGCTATAGCTTATAAGAATTAAGAACTTGTTGTGAAGGGGATCACTTTTTTTTTTCTTCTCATTTTTTTGTATTTTTTATTTTCTTGTTATTATTAATGGATATAGATTATGGATGGATAGAGTTAAAGGGCGGTTGTGCTTGTTGGGGTGCCAGCCTTTTTGATTAAGTTACATATATATTCGTTATTTTTATTAAATGAGATATTATTGTGTCATGATTTTTATGATATATAATCGGCCCACGTTGTCGTTGATTCCTTACCGTACAATCAACAAGTCCCCGTGAAAAGATTTGGTAGAACCTAAGCTGGTTTGAATTGTCAAACCAGCCACATTTCATCGTCCACATTGTTTAGAATAAATGTGAGTTTTACAAATATTATTCCTATAGATTATTCCTTCTTCTCTGGTCAAAATTGAAAGATGCTTGTGGACCAGGAGTCCAGGAGTGAGCGGAGACAGTCTTGGGCACGTCCAAGTAAATTCTACTTTAGGCCAATATCAAAAAAATTAGAACAAACCCAAGTTCGGCCCTTAACGGCCGGCCTATAATGAGCCAAGAGTAACTGACTATAAACTATTAGGTTTCTTTTGTCAAGTCTTTGTTAGGAATATCTTCCAACAGTTTAAATGACCAAAAGATATAGGTACCGATCAGTTTTTTCCGAAGATCTGATAGGCAGTGAGCTTTTATATAAAGTATGGTTTTTAAAATCGTTGGATCAGAAAAACCAGAAATCGGTCAAATGAATGGTTCCGTTTTTTGTTAAAATCGGATTTTGGCCAAAAAAAATATTGATTTGGTCAGTAAACCTCTGACCCGGGCGATCGAACTGTTTGAACCATTTAACGGTTTTAACCTTTTTTTTTTATTTTTTGCCAGAACGGGTCGATCGTCTGATTTGAATGGTCAAACCATTTGACCAAGAAACCAAACCCCTAGCCGGTTCGTTCCCTAGATCGATTTTAAAAACCTAGATATAAAGATTTTGACAACCCACAAACCAGTTGATAGGAGGCACATCTTTCTGCACGAAGATAAGACTTGAGAAAACCAACAAGATGAAAAACTCTATTTCTAACTTTACAAAATAAGCTTGAATCAGGCTTCTCGCGCCTATTTTTAATAGAAGAGGATGCACAGGCAAGCTATCGAACTTCTAAAGAGATGACCGTCTGAACATAAAGACACACCAAACAGGGCCATAATTAAAGGATCTTGATCTAGACCATTTGGTGAGCATCCTAATCTATCATAGTCTACATGAAAGTTTTAGGCACTCAAAGATAAAGTTTAATTGAGCTTTTTAGGGCTTCCAAATGGCCATTTTGGATTTTCATAAACTTTTTAGGGCATAGATCTTTTAAACTTTTGTCCTTCATTATCAAATAAAGACAAAAGTTTAGTATCCCAAGCTATGAAAATCCCAAACGACCATACCAAAAATGCCCCCTATTTAGTATGTGGACCTTGGAAATTGCAGTTGTGAACTTGTGACCGACCAGGACCACCACCATTGGATCGATTCCATCTTTCATAAAAATAAAATTCACAATCGGATGGATTCCACCTAAGGCCACTGTAATCCCGTGTATTTGACAAAAAAAGAAAAGGAATTCGACAACTCATTCACACTTTTGTCCTTTTGCAATTTAAAAGGCTCCATGGCCAGGATGATAGTACATTGCCCGCAAAATAAACCAAGGCCAGCCCATTCAAACGCTGGTCCTCATTGGCTCATACTCAGGCCCAATACTATTTTCATCAGAACAGTCCAAGCCCAGCCGAACTAAACCAGCTACATTCTGCATTCCTGTACAACTAATCAACTATACCTAAAACTAAAAGCTACCAACGCCCAACGATGACAAATAACATGATTTACCGATTCTGTTGCATTATTAAAAGAAAAGGGAAAAAACCCTTCGACTAAGATAATACAAAAACAGGTTCTCTGGTCAACTCCAAATACAAGCAACTTGCTTACATTCAATACAATTCATTTCGTATATTTCTAACATATGATTAGACAATAAATGTTGGTTAGCACCCCTTGTTAAACAAAAAATGATCAATCAGTATCAAACATGAAGTTAGTTGCAGTGAAGCTTGAAAACTCGGCATCAATCTAGTTCTCTACCAATTAATTTTACATACACCAGGAAGGGGAAAGGTCAGCTGGCGGCCAAGGGGGGAAATAATTGAACATGGGGGAATTTATGGCTGGAGGGAATAAGGAGAGTTTTTGTGACATTTATAGCTTGTCAGTTGAGAACAGGAAGAGTATAGGGCATTTAGCATTTATATCTTATTAGTTGGGAATAAGAAGAGTGGGGCATTTATTATGGAAGACAGTTATGCTGTAAGATGTGTATAAGAAGGGGTTTTGGGGGATGGAGAAGAGAGACTTTTGCTGAGTACAGAATTCTGAGAGTGCTTGGGAGAGTCGGCGGTCTCTCGAAAAACTGACCTACTGTAAGTGATCCTCTTTTCTTCTGAATGAATATCAGTTCCCTGTTGAAGTACTAGTGGCCTGGATTCTGTTGTGAGTCTGTGAACTGCGTGTCAAATTTCTGGGACATATCAGTGGTATCAGAGCATGTCTTTCCTCGGCCATGGTGACAGCTAAGGAAGTGGCATCACAGGTGGAGGGTTTCGAAGAACGCTTGACTTCTCTGCATTCTGAAGTGGATGGCTTGCGTGATGAGATAACAGTTGGATTGCCGAAGATCACATCCCTGGAAGGAGGCGTTCAAGACTTGGTAAGGCGTTTTGATCTGTTGCTGCAGCAACAGTCCTTGTCAGCTCC